TTTGCTTATGTGGTGCTGAGGAATCGAACCCAGGGCCTCAGGCATGCAAGGCAAGCGCTCTACCACTGAGCCAACTTCCCAGCCCTCAGTATGATTCTTTTTAGGCCTTGTTAAGCTCATACTTTCTAAACTGCGGGAATTGAAATTTGAATATTTAGCAGAATACAAAGGCACAACCAGGGCTGCTAAGATAAACAGAAAATGAGAATATACTTCCTCTCTACTTTTTTCTCTTTTTTTGCCGAGTGCTAGAAATTGAACTTTTTTAACACTAGAAAAAATTAATAAATCCAAGCTGTTTTTGTTGTTAGGGTAATGATTACTTTCCCCCCCACCAATGAAATTTTGAAAGGTGCTAAAAACACTCAAACACACACACACACACACACACACACACACACACATTTCCAACCCATTCCTAAAACATTGGAATGATACAGTTATCAAGTCCGAACCTGTGAAATGCAGCTTTTTCTTTCATGTGATGACAAAAATTGCATACCAGGTTGCTAGCCTGTTCACCCTAAAATTTGCTTTGCATGGTAATCTATTCACTTGTGGAAAACTTGCAGAGAAAACAACCAGAGTTGGGGGGTGAAGGGGAGTGGCTGGAGAGGTGGTAGGAGGTGGAGAGGGTGTGAAAGGGGTAGGTGTTTGGAGACTGATGGGTAAGAATGCAGATAAACCTGCCCCCAGATTATTTTTGACCTGAAAAGCCGTTTTTGTATTCCTGGAAGAATATAAAGAAGTGAATCCTCAAGAAATGGGATGTGGGGAGATTTACGTAGTCATTTCTGTTTAAAAAGAAAAGAAGCATTAACTTGTTTAGACAGTGTTGATACCTGTTTCAAATTAATTAACTTTAAAATCTCTAGAGGAATTCCCCCCCCTCTACCCCCATTTGTTTTTGAGCAAGGATTGCAATTTGAAACTCTGGCCTCCTTAAGTGTTTCTTTCATGTTGTTGAAATTGGATGCTTTTTTTTTTTTTTTTTGAGGCTATAATGTCCAGTTAGCCTGGTTCAGTCCACTCAGCAAACAGGCTGGCAATTTGATCTGGGAAATTTACCGAGTTTAAACCCAGGAGTCATTCACTCCATTTTGCTTTTCCTGTAAGAAGTCATTCTGGCCTCCGGTGGCTGTAGGTCTAGCTTGGGTGGTAAAATCTTTCTAATGGTCCTGGGAATAGAAACATTTATCAGGCAAGCCCTTTTTTTCCTTTGTTAATGTAGTTTTCATAGGTACAATTCCTGTTGCAACACCTAGTGCAGTCCCAGGTAACTTTTCAGTAACAAGCTTATGAATATTTGATAATGTAAAGGGAGAAAAAGAGATCGGCACATATGTCAGCAGACTATCTAGATTTGCTTCTTCAAAAGGCATCCATAGTCTAGGCATCCATAGTCTACCGCTACTGAGGTTCTCCCTATTTTCCTCTCTTCAATCCTGTGCCTCTTCTTTGCATCTTTCCTTACTCACTTCCAACCCCTACCAGCTCAGGATTAGAAGAGGTGTTCAGAACCCATAGTCTTTACTGGAGAAAAGAAAGCTTTTTGTAACTGTTTTACCTAGTTGTGTGTTTTCTTTTTAATTCCTCCTTCCTCCTTTGTAGTTCACTGATTGCTTCAATTAAGACCCAGTGTGCCTGCTAAGCTGTGCCCAGGTTCAGAGCCATGCCAGTCTGTGGGTGAAGCTTAAGGTAGTAATGGAGCCACTGCATCAGCAGCAGAAGCCACAGAAGCTGCCACACTCGGCTCCTTTGCAGATGGATGCCAGAGAGAAGCAGGGAACACAGATGAGAGAGGCCCCATTCCTGTATGCCCAAAAGCTAGCCACACAGCCACCTGTCCTTTCTGCCATGCCTGGAAGACCTCCTGGCAGTCCTGCCCTGGGTCCTTTAGCCAGAGTTCCACCAGTCACACCAGTGGCCCGAGGTTTTGAACAGAGCAGTGTGAACTCAGAGCCTGAGGAAGAAGAAGGTGGTTTGGAGGATGAGGATGGGGATGATGATGTGGCAGAGACGGCTGAAAAAGAGGCCCAGGCTGCTGCCAAGTATTTCCACGTGCAGAAAGCAACTCGCCAAGATCCCCGAGCACCCCCTGTGCTCAGTCTGCTTCCAGCTCCAGGGCTCCCAACACCGGTACCCCAAGCTAAAGAAGACCCTACCAAAGATGCGTCCACAGCACCACCTTCCGTCTCCACAGGTGGGCAGCCACGCTGGAGCCTGGATGAGCAGCTTAAGCAGGTCAGTCTGTGCGCCGTGGGAGGCTATCCTTTCTGAAGCATGTGCTATTCTGAGTCTTCTCACCCGACTTCACTCATCCACAGCCAAGATTTTCTCAATATTTGTTTGCTTGGGCTAGAGGTGTGTATAGCTCAGTGGTGGTGATGCTCACTAGTAAGCATAGTATGCACAAGGCCTGGGTTCAGTCCTCAGCACCAAAAAGAATTTTTATCATTACAGTCTTTTTTGTGTGTGTGTGCCTGTACTAAGGAGTGAACTCAGGGCCTGGGCACTGTCCCTGAGCTTCTTTTGTTCAAGTCTAGTGCTCTGCCACTAGACTTTGTTTCTGGCTTTTTTCTGGTTCATTGGAGATAAGAGTCTCACACACTTTCCTGCCTGGGCTGGCTTCAAATCACAATCCTCAGATCTCAGCCTCCTTAGTAGCTAGGATTACAGGCATGAACCACAAGCTCTCAGCTCAAGATCATACTTTTAATGACAATTTGTTGTTTTGTAGCTGAGCATAACTGATCAGAAATACTCTTGTATTTCCTAAGAAAGACTTGTAGACATGGGTCCATCTCACACTTACAGATACTGCTTAGAAAGAGGGAAGGACAGACCTAAAGATTCCCTTTTTAGCCAAGGAAAGCTGAGTGACTTTAAATATGGCATAGCGTTAGCATCAGCATAGGAGTTTTCTTTTGTCGTTTTGTGGTGCTAAGGGTCCAACCTTTCATGTATTCTAGAAGGGAATGCTTTGGGGGAGATACTGAGGCTTGAACTCAGGGCTTTCTTTGCTCAAGGTTAGCTCTCTATCACTTGAGCCACAGCTCTACTTCTGGCTTTTTGCTGGTTAATTGGAGATAAGAGTCTCAAGGAATTTCCTGCCTGGGCTGGCTTCAAGCCATCATCCTCAGATCTCAGCCTCCTGAATAGATAGAATTACAGGTGTGAGCTACCAGTGCCCAGCTACTAGAGAGCTTTAACTACTGGAGAGCTTTATTTATAAAGGCAGACTGTAGTCAGTCATGGTAGTACGCACAATGGTATTCAGGAGGTAGAATCTAAAGGATTATTGAGTTGAAAGTCAGTCTGGACTACATAGTGAGATTCTGTCTCAAAACAAAAAGACAGGCTGGGATGTAGTTCAGTGGCAAAGTACTTGCCTAGCAAGTGCAGCATCTTAGATCTAGTCCCAGTACCAAAAAAGACAACAACAAAGAAAAGGTTTAAAAGAAAAAAAAAGAGGGGCTGGGAAGGTAGCTCAGTGGTAGAATGCTTGCCTTGGGTTCAATTCCTCAGCACCACATAAGCAGAAAAAGCCAGAAGTGGTGCTGTGGCTCATGTGGCAGAGCACTAGCCTTGAGCTGAAGAGCTCAGAAATAGCACCCAGGCCCAGAGTTCAGGCCCACGATCGACAAAAGAATAAAAAAGAGCCGGGTGCTGGTGTCTCACGCAAAAGAATAAAAAAGAGCCAGGCGCCGGTGTCTCATGCCTGTAATCCTAGCTACTCAGGAGGCTGAGATCTGAGGATCGCGGTTCAAAGCCAGCCCGGGCAGGAAAGTCCGTGAGACTCTTATCTCCAATAAACCACTAGAAAACCGGAGCCACTGGCGGTGTGGCTCAAGCGGTAGAGTGCTGGCCTTGAGCTGAAGAGCTGAGGGACAGTGGCCAAGCCCAGAGTTCAAGCCCTATGACCAACAACAACAACAAAAAAGAATAAAAAAGAAAGCAGACTACAGAGCTGAAGAGTCCTAATGAATTATTTGGAGGAGGGAAGCCTAGGGAGCTGTTCTCAGCCAAGCCTTTGGCTCTTTTCTTTCTTTCTTTCTTTCTTTCTTTCTTTCTTTCTTTCTTTCTTTCTTTCTTTCTTTCTTTCTTTCTTTCGTCATGGGGCTTGAACCCAGGATCTCAGTGCTGTCCCTGAGCTTTTTCACTCACCACTAGCATGTTACTACTTTGAGCCACAGTACCACTTCTGGTTTTCTGGTGGTTCATTGGAAATAAGAGTCTTATGGTCTTTCCTGCCCTGGCTGGCTTTGAACTACAATCTTCAGATCTGTCTCCTGAATAGCTAGGATTACAGATGTGAGCCACCAGTGCCAGGCTTGACTTCTCTTTTCTTAGTGACCTACAGTGCAGTTTTTCCTTAGTGTGAGGACAGTAAGTTGACTTGTTATGGGTCAGTTGGTATTTCCAGCAGGGAATCCAAGGCAAGCCGTTCATGTGTGGGAACTCTGAATAACACACACCCTGTGTGTGGTCCAATGATATGTAGAAACAAACCATTTGTGAAGAGCCATAGCCTTCACAGGCGACTGAGAAGCCATGAGATCTGAAGGTCGTGGTTTGAAGCTTGCTAGGACAGGAGAGACCATCAGACTATTATATCCAATTAACTACCGAAAAAACCTGAAGTAGAGCTGTGGCTCAAGTGGTAGAGCACTAGCCTTGAGCAGAAAAAGCTCAGTGACAGAGCCCAGGACCGGAGTTCAAGTTCCAGGTCCAACATCTTTTAGAACCTGAAAAGTGGAACATGTCTGCTGTTGGCTTAGTTTTCAACAGCAGAGTTTGTTGTAGGTGCTTCAGTGAGTGAACAATAGGGTTCAAACCCCACCCCTATGTGTCTTTCCTTTATGATCTTTTGGTAGCATTATGAATTGCCCTGAGCCCCTGCCTTCACTCTAGAACAAAATTTATGAAAGTTCCTCCTGGGACACGAGGGTTAAGAGTTAGTCTTAGGGCAGGAGCTGCCTGTGCCCACAGTATCATCCTTTGCTGCCTCTTCCTCTGAAGCAGGGCAAGTACTGAGATGGATGCTCAGAGGGTTCCCTGCCCTCGGTCACCCAGGGAGACTGTGGTGGAGGGAGGCCTGGAATAAGAATCTAGCTTCCAGGACTACAGCTCCTTGGCTGTCAGCCTGAACCCCACGTCCTGGCTGATTTCTTTGGTTTAGCAAAACATCTGTGAGCTGCTGGCAGCCCCCACCACGGCTGTGCAGCTGGCACAGTGCCACGTTGGTGGCTGAGTCAGCTCATAGCGGGATCCCGCCCTGCCGCCACTGGGAAAGTTCAGGCCTGAGGCAGCTGGGCTGCCCCCGCCTTGGCAGCTAGCCAGCCTCTGTGTGTGCATGTGCACACATGCGGTTGTTCCTAGAAAGTACAGCAGCACGCCCCAGAGCCCGTCTGTCTTCCGGAAGTGCAGCAGGTGTTGAGGTCAAGCCTTTAGAGATTTGAAAAAAAGACTTTGCAGAACTGGCGTGTGCGCTGTGGCAGGGCGCCCAGCCCTGACTGGCCTCCCTGCACTCTGTCCTCCGTGCTGTTGCTGGGCACTGTCTGTTGGCACCTGAAACCCTTTGAGTTCATTTAAGTTTTTGAGGCGTACTTGCTAATTATAGACTGCCTGGAAGAGCACCTGCCAGAATGTGTTCATAAATGTTAGAGTAACTGAGGCCTAATTCCTCACCCTGAATGTACCTTCTCCCCTCAATTTGGTGATCAAGAACCAGGCCAGGGAGGCAGTGCAACCGACTTAAATCCTTCTCTGAGCATCCTCTGTTTCCTTGTGGATTTAAATTTTCAAAATAAATTTGATCTATGTTTTTTCTCTTGCTTTGAAGGAGTAAATAATGTGGGGATTAAAGCTGTTTCATGTTTTTGTTTTTGGTGTTGGTCCTGGGGCTTGAACTCAGGGCCTGAGGGCTGTCCCTGAGTGTTTTCACTCAAGGCTGGTACTCTACCACTTGAGCCACAGCTCCATTTCTACTTTTCTGGTGGTTAGTTAGAGATAAGAATTTCACAGACTTTCCTGACTGGGCTGGATTTGAACCCCAATTCTCAGATCTCAGCCTCTTGAGTAGCTAGGATTTCAGGAATGATCCAGCTGGTGCCTAATAAAATGGTTTTTAGTTATGCTAAAACGAATCTTCCAGGAGAGCCTAGAAACCATCTAAACCTTGAGACTTACTATTCAGTCCTTTGTTTCTTTATGGAACTGCCAGTGGGGGGTAGAAAGAATAGCCCTTGCTTCAAAGACCTCTACAGTTGACACAGACCCTACTGTTAATGGGTTACTTTTTGTTTTAAACAACAAACTTGGCTGGAGTCCTCTTTGTGCCAGGATTGTACTCAGTAGTCTGGCTTCTCTCCCTCAAGGAGTGCAGTGCCCTGCAGAGGTACTGTGGGAATCTCAAGGTGGGCTGGAGTTGGGGGTGCAATAACCAGGTTTGCTGAAGCCCAGGCCCCAGTCTGCACTATGGTGGAGCTGTTTTAAAACATGGTTTATACCTGTAAGATCGGCCTATAGACATTATTATTGTTGTTGTTGTTGTTGTTATTATTATTTCCTGTAACATAGTATAGCTTGGCAAGCCAACAAGAAAGTTGTTTTCAAGATTTGGTGTGGGGGCAGGGAGTAGGCGAACATCCACAAACTAAAAAGCAAAAGTGGGACTGCCTAACCACAGATTGGACTTACGTGTCTGAAATCCCTTTCTTAGAGCAAGTAATGTTGAAATTGTCTCATGGGTTTTCTTTGAAGAACTTCTTAGAAAATACTTGCTTCTCAAAGTGGAGACAATTGGAGTGTCATGTCACCTGCCTCTCTGGGGAAGAGAGTTAGTCCAGCACTGTAAAACCAATCCGTGTGCAGGGGCAGAGTAAACCATGATGAAGCAAGACAACAAAAGACCTGATGTCCTTCCTCTCAAAGGATATCACACAGCCAGCTTGGGCGGAGAGTTGCTGGCCTTTTAGGGTGGTCTTGGATAGAGAGGGTTGTTAAGCAATACAGGCTTTGTCTGTCTGGAGCCCATTAATGGAGCAGCTAGGTCCCCCTGCATAGAAGTGGAAGATGAGTGATGGTGGATCGGCCCTTGGGGCCAGAGCGTGTGTGACTAGTCTTCTGCATACTTTACTGATCACTTTGGTTACTGTGTGTGGCTTTGCATAGCCAGCTCCCTGAAAAGCACTAGAGACATTGCTCAATAAATGTTGCTCCCCCCTTCCTCCCCCTCTTTT